AGTGTGTTCGCAGAGGCGTGTTCAGCTTTCTAGTGGTTTAACAAAGTGTCAATATTCAAAAGTAGTTACTGTTTGGTTTTGTCGGGCACAGAGGAAACTGTTAGCAGCTTCTCTTAGAAAATCACTTCCATGACTGGCTTCTTCCCCCCTCACCAAATATCAATTAATGCAAAACCAGCACAATCAGAATGTCAGTTCATGAGTGAGGCCCTTCTGTCCTGCTTTCATATCCACAGTCCTGAGACAGATCTGCTCTCCACTGAAGGCATACAGATCACTGGGGGACTGTAGATCTGGGATTTGCAGAATTCACATGGCTCATGATATTGTTTCCTTCGCAAAATACAGCTTGACACTACCTAAAAGAAATTAAATTTCAAGACAATTATCAGTGTTCAAAAAGAGGACTGTATTTCTGCAGAAATACAGTGTTTATGTTTTAGTTGCTTCTTTTCTTCCAAAAGGAGTCTCATTTGACTTTATGCTTGTATAGACGAGATCTGTTGGAGTTAAGCAGATGTACAATTTTTTTGTGTGGGGCAGGAAGCAGAAGTGCCAGGTCATGTCTGCTTGTGAGAAAGGAAAATGCTGGCTCCTGTAGCTCATGAGGGCATAATGTGTAGCTGTTAGATTTGTACTCTCCATGGCCACTTGATCTGTGGAGAGTTGCCAGTGATGGTAGCTTCTGTGATAAGGAAAATGTGATTTAAAGGACGAGGGCTGCTAGCTTGTTTCATGAAGTCCACTGAGTCTTCCTGGAGAACTGGTGAAAGCTTTTTAGACCTGTTGACAAGGATTTAGTTTAAAAGTGTCTTGCCAGAGCTCTGAAATGTTCTAGTCTTGTAAGGTTTGGTAAGTTCACTCTGTTCCCTCTTGAAATAGTGATTAAATTTTTTTTTTCTCTAGGGGAAAGGTTTTTTTGCCTCCCCAAAGAAAGCAAACAGCTGCATTGTTTGCAGAAAGCTGCTTTTGAAGGCTATTTTATGTTTACTTAGTGCAGACACCAGGCAAGGGGGTGGAGAACTGATTTTCTGCCACTTGAGCTTTTTACTTTCTAAATCTACAGCTGTAAAAATACATATATTTAAGAGGGATTAGGTTTGGAGACTGTTGGTGTACCAGCTAATGGACTTTCCAACAGCCATTCTACTTTGAAATAGTGGCTAGCACCCTTTCTTGAAAGAAAGGGCTGGCCAAATGATGTATTTCATTATCATCATGTTCAGAGGTTGCCCTGTAGCCTAACTTTCTCTTGAGTAATTTTCTGAATTGCAGAAAATGAGATGAAATTGCAGCTGTGTAGGTCGGGAGGCTGTTCAGGATTTCTGCAGCAGGGTGAAATGTCATGTGGAGGGAGGCTTCTGCAAGGCAGACCATGGGACAAGTGCATGTAATCCATGCTTTAATTGTGCAGGTGGGTGTTGTAATGTGGTGCTTCATATCACAGAAAAATTAGTGCTGTTGGGGACGGATTCCTGCAGCTTTTCTTACTCTAGACAAAAACCAGTATTTCTGCTTCAGGGAGTTCTGAGTGAGTGTCAGGAGTGATCACTGATAGCTGCTGTTGGCTCAAAATTTTGCATAGCTGAGACATAAAGCAATCATTGGAAACTAACAATTTTGGCACTGCAGTACTAAATGGCAAGTTGTATTTCCCAGCTATGTTGGAATTACCAGACTGGTCTGAAGTGGAGATAAAGTGGGACTTCTGCTCTAGCCAAGTTAGAAGCATTGGGTTGATCAGTTCTCTGCATCTTTGGCTTGCAGTTCTTGCCTGTTGTGAGCTGGTAGAACATCTGAAAGGATGCTCAGCCATTTTCCTCTGGTATTAGTTTGCTGAGTGCTTTCTGATGGATAAGTTATTCAAGTGAACCTTGTGTCAGCAGTGAACCAAGCATGTCAGCCTTTGTGGATGAAAATCAGAGGTGACTAACAAACCTGTTCCTTGGTCTGTAACAGATACTGACTGGTGCATAGAGTGTCATTGCAGCTGTCACCCGGCATGGCTGGAAGAACTGGATACACTTCAGGCTCAGGTGTTGTGCTCTTGGTGGTTAGTCGGCCATTAGGCTCCATGCCCTACTTTAATGCAGGGATTTAGCTGGTATGCCTACACCTGGACAGTCCTCAAAAGCTAGTATTTTTATGTCATTTAAAACTTTTGTCCAGACAGAACAGGCCAGATCATTTGCTTTGTTCCCAGTAAAGTTTTGCTTAACTCCGGAGAGCTGAAGTTCAAGCAGGTGGCACAGCTGAATCTTGCTGGCTGTGCATGCTTCTGGCTGGTCAGCTGAGATGAGTTAAAAGATAAAATACGTGCTCTTAGCTCTCTACAGTTTGCTAACATGAGGTGAATGTTACAGCCTCTAAAGCAGCATTTCCATGTTCAGGATCCTGTGGGCCAACTGCAGTTGCAAAGGATGAGTATCTGAATTTTCAATGTTGTGCATTAAACCAGCTACCCTTTGATTTGCTCATTCCACAGACTGGTTGAACTTCTGTTTTGCTTCTGTGCAGGGTATTAAGGTGCAGGAATAGGGTCTAATTCCATTGATGAGAGCACCAAAAGTCACTTTGACTCTCCATGGGATACTTTTTTGTACTCTTCCTGTGGCACTCTATTCTTATGGGTTTTGGCGTTTAGCCTTAATTTCTGGAAAACATTGGAAATTAGGTTTTTTTGCAGAGATTTAACAGTATTGGGGGCCTGAGAATGAAGTATGGAGTGGATACTCTGAACACCCTTCTAAAGATAAAAAACAGCTGTTGCATAACTACCCGTGACTGTTAGAAGGCTGTACAGTCCCTTCCAGTCATCTACTTCTGTATGCCAAACTTGTCCAGTAGCTGCAGGATTCGCCTCAGGCGGCCAAGATTGTTTTGTTGCATGGTGGAGAGCACCAAAAATCAAATGGAAGTCTGTGACCACAGACCAGTACCAGTATTCTTGTGGAAAAATGCATGAATAGAGCCATTATCTTAGTGTTCTTAGAAAGATTTTGCACTACATTATTGGTCAGTAAGTGCCTTTGTACTCTGTGAGAAGTAATCCAGGTTTCTCTTTAGAGTGAGTAAAAGTGTAGACAAATCCCCCAAATACTATTCAGAAACTTAAGAGTGGAGGAAGTACAAAGGAGAGGTAACAATATTCCCTACTTAGTTGTGTGGCTAGGTTGATTGCAGTTTTAGATATGTAATATTGACATCAAGAGGAGGTGCTTCAAAGACATCCTGTCCCCACCCCCAGTATATCCAAGGCTGTAAGCAGAGGAGTGCTTTGGGTCCATGAGCATGGGTGCAGTCATCAGAGCCAGGATTTGTCCTCTGAGATTCCCCTCAAATGGCAGGCTTTTTCCCTGCTGTGGATGTGCCAGCAGCCTGCCAAGTGCCTTTCTCCAAGTATGATATTCATGGTCTACCAGCCAGATGTGCATGCATCTGCAGTGTGTTAGTGTCAGGGTGTTCCAGCCAGCAGGATGCACTGGGCAGGGAAGGATGGCTGTCCTGCTTGGTGAGTTGTAAATCCCTCTGTGAAGGAGGGTCTGTGGAGGTCCTGTCAGTGAGTTAGAGCAGCACCTGGCAGAGGTTAATGAGCCCATGACTGTATGCTTGCTTGCTGGTGTGCTGGTATGAGGTTCAGTTTGTAAGGTTTTGTAGGCATCTATTACTGCTCCTTGGTTCTCTGTACTGGTGTTAAGAAGCACTGTTGGCCTGTTTTGGTACTACAGCGTAATCATCTACGGAACTCGGTGTAACAGGTTTATTTTTGTTAGTCATGTTAGAGAATTTTTTTCTAACACATTTCTAAATTATTAAGAGACAAGTTTTTAATCTGCAAGTCATTGGAATTTACTTTTGGATGAGACTTAAAGATGACAATTGTTCATCATCTCAAAGCTTAGATCCTTAATTTATTGTCTGATCTTTCTCCAATGTAGGTCTGGCCAGAGGAGGCCTTATGTTCTGAGCACATTTATGTATTTTTTGTAATCTTTTCAATGCAGTTTGCAATCAGACATGCAACTCTGAATATTAGGGCTAGGATACTGTTATCAACACCAGAATCAAATGTGTGTGTTCCCAATTTAAGAGGTGTTGGAAAGAGTGGTTGTCTTGGTGTGTGTTTGAATCAACTGCTAGTTGTCCTCTTAATGCTGATTCTGTCAACAGAGTGTATGCAGGTACATAAATCAGAATTAATTTAATGTGGATTAACTAAGTTCCTGTGCAGACACTTGCTCAGGATTCAACTGCTCTTAATTTGAAGTGGCCCTAAAACTCAGAAGTAAGTTAAGAAGTACCAAGCCTATACTAGGCTCTTATTAATTGCCACCAAAGAGAATAATTTTTTAAAATAATTAATATTTTCTAATCCTACATACTCTCATACTGTAGCAAGACAGACACTTAACACACAACAATTTTCCATTTATTTAATCTAAATGTTAACAACCCTAACGTCCTTCTTAGTCACTTACTTTCAAGGGAATGGGCATTTCTCCCTTGCCTGTTAAATGCATAACAGTTTCTCCTACAAGCAGTGTTGACTGGACTTCAAAACAAAGGTTTTCCTAATTTGGCAGGCAGCTTTTCACCATTATAAAAGTGTATATGGGAAGAGGCTTTAAGGAAAAGTATTGAATTGTATGATTCAATCTTTTTTGGAGGGATCTTTAAATCATTTTTCAAAGCCTCTTACTTATTCTCATTCTGGGCTGTCCTTGCTCTTGGAATTTCTGGGGCAGAAAATAAGAGAATTGTATTACAAACCTCTTTTTTTGCTTTGGAGCTCTGAGAGAAGAAACAGTGAGTCTAAATCTGAGCTTACTGAGACCTATGAGACTTGGCTGGAGAGCATGGGGTGACAAAGAAGGCAGTGCAGTGTTCCATGGAGGGACTGCAAGGTCACAGAGTGCAGCCTGTCTTGTTACCTTTTCTGTTTTGAATGACAGAACTTTCCCTGTCCAACTTTTTTTCCTGTTTTTCTTTTCTTTAACTAGTTAATGCCTGGCCAGAACATTTGTACTGTGTACTGCTGCTGCTACACAAAGGGAGCTTCTAGGCTTTGCTGAAGGAAGATGGCTTTCTGGACTCAGCTGGGATTGCTGCTATGGAAGAACTTTACCTACAGAAGAAGACAGACTGTAAGTATTAGCCCAAGGGTGTTTTGAGATCTTAAGTTACAGTTTTGTAGCTTACATGACTATACAGCTTTTCAAGAAAAACAGGGAAACGTCCTGTATCTTACTTAATGTTCATCCTCTAGTGATCCCTGGCTGAGCAACTCATCTGGCTTTGGAAAGACCCTATTCAAACTGGAGAGAGTGGTGTGTATAGAGAAACCAGAGGGCTTGAAGGTGCTCAAGACTTCTGTCCTGAATTCCAGTGTGAGAGAGTGTTGGAGTACTGAAACACTGGTGTCGGATCAGGCAAAGAGGATGCCTGAGTGCTGTGTGCAGCAAAACAAATGTGAAATAAAAACCCATGCTGGGACCTGCTCCACTTGGTGGGTGAGGCGTTGCCAGGCTGCGAGGATGTGCCTGTGAGTCATTGTTGCTGCAAGCTGCAACAATGGCAACAAAGTTTTGCCGCTTCCTAATGGCAGAAGTGGCAGAGGCAATAGCAGACATCTCCAGTCACTTTAATCATTGAGAGTATCCCAAACCTGCTATGTAACTTTACAACAGAAGTGGATGGCATGAAGCATGTTCTTGTATTGGCATGAAGATAAACCCAGGCAACTGATGTTGTTCTGCCAGGGTATGTTCTGAGTGGCCGAAATGCTCTCCTCACCATCTGTTAACAGTGTGGAAATTTACCTGTTAAGAATAGACAATACATAAGAAGAATTTCTCCTTGTGATAAAAATGGCACAGGAGTGTGGATCCAGTGTGGTGTTCTTAAAATTCTTTTGCCTTAAGACTGAGACCTCATAGGATGCTATATCTCTTGCAAGCAGCTAAAAGTCCGAGAAAGCACAGGGGTTTAGGGAATATCTGTGTTGGACAAGGGCATGACTTGTGCAATAGGCTTGTTCAGAGGATCTGGCCTGTTAGATCTGACCTTGAGGAGGTATCAGTAGGGAATGTGAAAGGAACACGAGTTACTGCAGTGGTGAGTGGAAAGTGGTCTCTGATAAGCTTTCTGAACCCTTCAAATGTCAGGATGCTTGCCAGCTGATTGGGTTGTGTTGTTTTAGAAACTCAGTGTCACAAGGGAGGAAAGGCTATCATATTTACCATTGCTAATGATCACAGTCCCTGAAGTCTTCACTCAGGTGTCCAAGACTTGTTTTTACAGGACTTGGGCCCAGTGAATTCAGAGCTGGAATTAGTCCATTGTTAAATAAAACAGACAAAAGGGTTCACCGCCTCCTTGTCTTTTCTTGTATATAGACAGAGCTGCCAGGACGACAAAATTTTTGTTTTGCGTGTTTTTGCTTTTCATGGAGCTTGACCTCCCAGGATAGGACTGTCCACCAGAGAGCTCATGGACTGTGTCAACTGCAAGGAGTGAGCTTGTCTGCTCTCTGGATCTGGGTAACATGCTGGCCTTGTGAACAGTCTCATAGTTTAGAAGAATATTACAAATGAAGTTGGGAGAGTAGTCTTGAAACTGGCTGTGGCTCCTTAAGGTTGGCTCTTCTCAGCAAATGCCCATGTAACCTAGGCCCTAAGAAATAAAAATACTCTTCCTGTCTTGCTTCCGGAGGCCTAAATTTTGCCTGTTACCAGGGTGCCTTTAGAAAGTAGGGGAATTCTAGAATGTTGTGGGATTTTTGGAGTGATGTTTAAACTAGGTAAGCCAGGAGACTATTTCAGAGGAGCAGAATTTTACAGTGTGAATGATGGCTTGGTATATTTTTGCCAGGATCTTCTGAAAATAGTAGAATCATAGAGACATAAGTTTGGAAAGGACCTCCAAGATCATCAAATCCAGCCTTCGTCTGAACACCATCATGCCAACTCTAAACTCTACCACTAAATGCCACGTCCAGTCATTTTTTGAACATTTCCAGGGACAGCAACTCCCCCACCTCCCTGGGCAGCCTTTCCCAATGCCTGCCCTTTTCACCCTTGCAGTGAAAAAATTGTTCCTAATGTCTGACCTGACCCCTGAAAAAGCTAGAGGCTCTGTCCTCTTGTCCTGTCACTCTTCCCATGGGAAAAGATAACAACCTCCATCTTGCTAGAACCTCATTTCAGGTAGTTTTAGAGAGTGTTTCTCCAGGCTGAACAGCCCCAATATTGCATCAGGTGTGAAAAGGTCAGAGTTTAACATGTGTGTCATGTCAAGGTAGCTGTAGGCGTACTGGGCAGCAGAGGTGCATTCATATTCTTTGGTGGTGCCAGAGAAATGCAGTAGGGTAACCATTCTGGATCTGCTCAGCTATTTCTTGGTACCTTCTGACAGGTAGGTATCTGCAGATCTGCTGTACTGGTTTCCCATCAAATACCCCAGAGGGCATGAAACTGCTCACGATCTCCATTCCACGCTGATTATTAGTCAATTCATAAAGAAGGCCTGAGACATGGCTTGTTTTTGTGGGGTTCCTCAGTTATGCAGCAGTTTTCTCATTACTGGTTCTCATTTGGAATGCGAAGATGTCAGGAGGAAAAGCCCACTTAACAGGAAATGGTAGAGAAGAAGCAGAACATCTCCTCTTACCATGCTGTTACCACAGCTGCACAGTTCTTTCTCTCTTTGCTTTCCTGTTGGGAGACCATTGTCCTTGAGTTGAGTTGTGTTGAAGGCTCTCTCCCAATTGTACTTACTGAAGGTGTAGCCTAGAAATAGTTTCATCCTTACCCTTCTCATGAAAAAATGTGGACTAGCCTTGGCTTCCTACTGAACCCCATCGTTGGCTGCTGTGAGTTTGGGCTGCATTGCAAAATCTAGGTTCAAAGCTCACCCTAATGTGTGCAGTTCAAGTGTTACTTTGTACTGGATAGCTTCCAACAACACTGAAGTGGGGGGAAGGAGCTCACATGGGCAAAGAGGAAAGAAAAATTATGTTCAGGGGTCACTGTGTAAAGACCTTTCTCTCCCTGCTTTCTTGAAAATGAGTAGACACATCAAACTTGCATGGAGAGACTGATCAGCTTCTGGTAGCTCCCTGCATTGAAACTGGACCATAAAGGGGAATAGGAGAGTTGATGGTGGGATGGGGTGATAGTCTACTTAGTTCTTGCTCAACAGATTTCCTGTTGACACTATGTAGAGCTCAGTGTTTAATGGCATCCTGAATCAGGCAACTGGTATAAATTTGGCATGCTTTAGGGATTAACCTTGGTAAAATTAGGACACATTTGTTCCTAGCTGAATCCACCTGCTGTGTACAAATGAGATGTTCCTTCTTCAAGTCCAGATGGAGCAGGGATAGGTGAAGTGTTGGGTGCTTGAAGATTCATTTCATTATTTACCAGGCTGGTCACTGCAGCACAAAAGTGGCAGAGGAGACTTGGTTTTTCAATATCTGCTTAGAATGAATTTCAGTGAGACATGTTCCCTTTTAGTATCTTTGTGTCCTTGTCTGGAAGGGCCAGAGTGGATGAAAAGTGCTGTCACAGCAGGGTCAGGAAGCAGTACGGGAGGGAACCTACTGACCTTTAGGAGCAAAGGAAGATAACTCAGTTTTTGTTGAGCAGCAAAAGAGACTTGCTGAGAAGTCTCTACTGACATGCTCCTGACACTCTGATCTTGTCCTTGTGCAAGCCTCTGGTGCAGCAGTTACCAGCTGTCTCTCAAATGTAGCATTTTGGTACCTACTATGATGCCTTCCTTCAGCTCTAAAGGTGAACTTGGTCAGTTTGAGCTGCTCCTTTCTCTATCCTCCCCGAGCCTGTTGGTGTGCCAAGTGAGGTGTGTTGTGCATGCAGCCCACATGTGGTTACCTTTGTGACTGAGTAGCCAGGTGTGCAGAAGAGAAGCTGTGTGTGCAGGTGGCCTGTTCCCCTTCAGCAGTAGGGCCCCTTGGGCACCCCAGTGTGGTGTGGCTGGGGCTCATTTTCTGAGCAGGCCAGGGCTTGAGCTCAAGGGCAGCATTTCTCATTGGCTCTGTAGCAGTTTCAGGGCTGTGAGAGGCTGTCTGTCCAGGCTGGTCAGCCCAGGAAGCTTCCACAAGTCCAGGTGAGACTGTTTTTCTCCAGACAGTGTAGCAGTAGTTGCTTTGGGGTGCATGCTGCTTGCCTACAGCCAGGTGGCAAGAGGGCTGTGCTGTGTGCTAAAGCATGACCATTGATGCTGGAAGATGAAATGGACTTGTCCTGGTTTCATAGCCACTTTTCTGTCAGGTGGAGGAAAAGTCCTGCTATGCCATCCTGGCAGCCACTATAAGAGTATCTTGAAAACAGGAGTGGACAAGTTGTCAGTGTCTTACGTCTAAACATTGATCTCTGGAAGCCAGGGCACTGTTTAATGCAGGCTGTCAATGTTAATGGCTGAGTGTGTGCTGCCACTACATCGTTTATTGTAATAAGAGACCAGAGATAGTGGTCTCTTCCTGGCACCTCTGTTAGCGTGGTCTCAGTGGTGTTTCTTACCCAGTAGTTGTACAGTGTGTGCATGACAATAACAGATGACAGAATATTCTGAGTTGGAAGGCCCCCACAAGCATCATCAAGCCCAGCTCCTAAGCGAATGGCCCACATGGGGATTATGTCAGCAACCTTGAAGTTAAAAGCACCATGCTCTAACCAGCTGAGCTAATCTCAGGATCCAATGGGTAAAATAATATCCTAGAATTATCTTGCAGAGACTGGCACTGTTACCGGGAGTGCCTGGAAGACTGATGCTCAATTTTTATACCTTTTAGATAGGGGTGCTATTTGCTGTTTGATGTCAGTTATGAAGGGTATCTGTGAAAAGCCATCCTACATAATTTCCTCTGCTGGATTAAGTGACCTTGGTTTTAATGCTCTGTTTTTACAGTGTGTGCTTATTTTGAGGTACAGTAGTTACTTAGAAGTCTGTCACCTCAAAGTTTGCATGAAGTGCCTTGTGCTGAGTGTTAAGAATCCAGTTTTAGCTGTTAATGATGGAACATGGAAAAACATGTTTGTGAGTGGGGATACTGCCTCCCTCTAGGTTGCAGGTCTTACACTCTGGCTTTTAAGGAGAATGATGTAGACCTCCTATTAGAAAATACTGAGTTTTTCAGGAAAGAAGTGCAAAAGGTTTTTCTTCATTTGACCAAGAAAACACTCTGTTCTGCTACTAGTAATAGATGAGAAACATACAGAATAGCAGCATAAAAAGTTTTCAGATTTTCCTTGTCTCATAGCTTACTGAAAATTACATGTTTATGCAGTCTTTCTGGAGTGAAAAGTAGGGATGTGGCTATTGAAGCTCAAGCCTGGGAAACTTGAGCTTGTCTCTCAGAAGCTCTGGGCTGGAGACTTGCTTTTGTCCACATGCTTCTGGGGGATGTGACTTATCTCAGTGAATTTTCCTGCACTTCAATTCTTTGTCTAAGAAATGTTGTATATTTAATAGCAGGCTATTTCTTCTTCTTGTCTTGTCCCTCTAAATAACTGAGTTCTTTATTTGCCTGCCTGATACTCACTTGCTGTAGATGACCTGCACCAGTGGGTGCTGCCTACCTTCAGGAAAAACATAAATTGGAACAAAACAGACTAGATATGAGCCTAATCTTGGTAGCTCTGCTTTCTAGATACCAATACATTCCTGCAGTACTGAAAGAGTTGATGTAGCATGCATCAGCACAGTTTCCATGCCTGATGTGTTAGGGTAGAAGCTTAATGGTCTGCTGTGAGAATGGGATAGAAGTACCCCACTGCCTCAAAATATGGGATAAAAAATTCAGCTCATTTCTAGAAAAATTAATTGGGAGTTTTCTTTTAGTCAGGGGAGAGAAAAATATTAAAATAAGCCAAAAATGGCCCTTAAGCACATCCATTTTAGTTGAATAACTGGCACATATCAATGAGAAAAAAATTGTAGTTCTTTGCAGATTATCCTCTGAAGCTGGAGGAACAAACTTCTTGATCCTGGCATGCGTAGGCAGTGCCAAGTGAGACAGTGCTTACCAAACTGTTTTGGCTTAAAAGTGGATTGTCCTAGAACTTCTGTTCTGACCTTTATTTTGAGTATGATGTCTTAATACTTCGCCTTTATTGTTTCCAGTTCCAGCTGCTGATCGAAGTTGCCTGGCCTCTGTTTATCTTCTTCATCCTGATCTCTGTAAGACTTTCATATCCGCCCTATGAGCAGCATGAATGTAAGTATCAAACACAGCAGCTGCACCGAGAATGCTTGTTTTTTCATGGTTAGTACACAATAATGCAGCTGGCAAGATGCAAAGAGGAGTGATTTCCTACTTCAGTCAGAAATATGCAGGAGAGCTTAATAACTCCTTTGCTTCCACCTTGGGAACTGCAGTTAACTGATGATGTTGCTCCAGGACTGTAGGTTGCTGCTCTTTTTCTTGCTGTTTCTCATTTTGTGTTTATATTACCTAAGAATTTGCTGTACAACTCTGCAGTATCTGTAAAACGTGCACAGAACCCCAGTCTTATTTTTCTTTTTTGATCTGTGTGTGACTTAGCATAAAAGAATGCAGTGTTCTGATCTCTAAGAGGGCAATCTTGTTTCCAGGTAATAAAGTGCATTAATGTATCGCATTAAAGAGCACAAGAAGGATTCCATTCCTTCAAACTATTACAGTGTCAGCTCTGCATTTAGTAGATTCAGCAGTCATACATTGCTGACAGAAAAACAATTCTACCTTTTTTTTTTTTAAATCCTAAATGGGCACATTTCTTCTTTTCTTTCAAAGGAAGCTTGTTCTTTATAAATGACTATCTGTAGGTCTCCTTGGTTGTCATTTGATTTAGGAAGCATGACTTGTTGATTAGCAACGTGGTGTTTTACTGTGTTTGGTGACAGCTTCATACTGCAATTAACTGATTGTGGCATAGCTCTTTGTTTATCTTTCCTTAGCCTGATTACTGCAAGGTAAGGTTTAAGGGTCAGCAAAACATGTTTTTGAAGGGCCCTCTGAAGTGTTTCTGTCTTGAAATAAGGAAAGAACTCCCTTTTACAGCACTTATCCTGTCTTTGCTGTGTCTGGGGCATTTTGTGCTGTTTGCTGCTGGTATCTTTTAAAGCTGAGGTATTAGTGTTTGCAGTTTCCCATTACACTTTGGACTCTGCTGATCCATGTACTGCCTAACTCACTTTTTTCAGCGCTCAACAGCATAGTTAAAACTTCCCCAAGTTAAATCTCATACTTTACATGGAATTTGAACTGCCTCTTCTGACTGAATGTTATGATGACATTAGGAGAGATACCTGTAATATAGACATGAAGCTGAAGAGAAGTAATTAACACTCTACTCAGCTTTTATAAATAACTAGTAACCTCAGTGGTAATTATTTTGAGGTATGGCAGGGTTGTATATAAACTGAAACCTAGCAAGAGCTGTGATTTTGTAGAACTACTTCACTTGGTCTTGCTAGTCAGTAGCCTTCATGTAAAACATTTGCTCTGGCACCATGGTGTCATAAGCATACTTTTGAGTCTTTCACCTACAATCCTTTTCCCTTCCCATTTATGTTGACTATTATTGCTTTGTCTGCCTTCTTACATTGTCCTGAGCAGTTAGAGAGCACAGGGCATCTGGTAACTTTTAATTCACTTCTATGGCTAATTCCTCTTCATTTTTTTGAAGAGCTTCTTTGAATAGGTTTCTAAATTGTGTTGTCTGGATTGGTTTCACTGAACGTTCACTTATGCTGACAGATGTGGATGTGTTGTGAAGTGAAGCAGCTTTTGCTGAGCTATGAGCAGACATAGAAAGACAAAAGGCTTTTGGGTTGATGGCAAACTCTTTGGATTCCTTAAGGGAAGTAGGATTATTATCTGTAGTGGCAGTGTTGTATGCTGTTATGAAATCACTTTTAGGTGATAGCAGTAATGCCTGGTGATAGCAGAAACAGAGCCATGTGCAAGTGCTTTGTAGCCTCCACATAGCCTCAGTATTTTAATGGTAGTCTTTTTCAACAAAAAAGCAAAATTCCGTTTTCTTTCCCTGGTTGAGGGACCAAGAATTGGACTGTTGTCAGGGTTTCTTGTTTCTAACGGCCTGGTTTAGTGTGAGGAAGTTTTCTCTTAAAATGTGAAGGAACAATTAACTTTGAAGTGATAGCTATGTGGCGTTCACCAGACTAGTGAGAGAAGACATATTAGTTTGCTATTGGGCCAGAGTGCTAGTCATGTCTTGTGTTGTGTAGAACTTTTCTTTTCTGTTCCTGTCCCCCTTCAAAGGATTCAAAATACACTTTTTTGGCAGTGGGAGGGAGAGTCTCTGACAAGGCGTGACTAATCTCTTCTGAAAAGCTAGATGTTTGCAGCAATGTAATTGAAAATTATGTGCTGTTGCACTGTTTTCTGTGTATCTTATCTGATTTAAAACCAACAGATTCCTGCTATACTCTTGGAGAAACTGGTGTTACATGCATCACTGTGTCTAAAAGGTTACCATCAACTCTTGTGCGCCATTCCTCTTTCGACATTGCTCTGAACATTTTCTTGGAGTTACTAACAGTGTTAATTAAAGGCATTGAGGACAGAGAAGATGATTCTCTGGGAAATTTTACAGGATGAATATGAAAGTCTTAGCATTTTTCCTCTTTCTCTCTCCCCCTCCTTCACCACAAGCCCCTCAGCCAAGAGCAAAAAGGCAAAATGAAACAAAAGTTAGGTCAGGTAAATAGCTCTCTATTTTAAACAGAACTAGGAGCAAGAGTTTCCTGGGTACTGGAAACAAACTTCATTTCCTTAACCCTTCTCCTGCACAGAGTCCTTGGCTTTCTCCAGGGAGGGCTGATAAGATTCCCATCTTCCTTCAGCCACCCATATTAATCAGCCTTGCTGTAATTTAACAGCTTTGATGGTACTTCTTTCTTGGGCTTTGATACTTCTGTTGGGATTGTGGAGGTAGGGTGCCAGTCCCCTCAGTGATTGCAGGCCATGCTGGGAGGATGAGGTGGGCACCAGAGGGGAGGGGGTGGGCATCTGATCCTCAGAGTCTTGAGATACTGAGAAAAGTGCATAATCTTCCTCCAGGATCCTGTCCCTAGTGTGGAGGTGAGGAAGCAAGCTCGTTGTAAAAAGCAGCCTGACAGTTTATATAAGGTCCAGGGTTATATAAGAGGGGCCTTTCTTTCCCAGTCATTGGGGGGTATGGGATTCACAACTATACAAGTGGCATACTGGTGGAGATCTGCCATGAGTAGTTTGTTACTGCTTTGTTCTTATAAAGGATGTAAACTCTGGTCTATGACTTCACTAGTTCTTTAGTGGAAAGGTTTAGACTTCAGCAAGAAGATTTGAAAGAGCAGTATAGAGAATCTAATACAAGCTCAGTCCTTCTTAGTGTTGGCTGTTCTGCTCTTTCATAGGCACTTTGGGGCAATAACCAGTGCAGGGTTAGCACTGCTCTTCAAATACAATGCCGTGTAGTTAGAGGATCATATCATGTGTTTGTCTGCTAACTCCTGTGTTTCTATTCTAGGTCACTTTCCAAATAAAGCTATGCCTTCGGCAGGAACCTTGCCATGGATACAGGGGATCATCTGCAATGCCAACAACCCATGTTTCCGCTACCCAACTCCTGGGGAATCCCCTGGTATTGTTGGAAATTTCAATGCCTCCATGTGAGTCTGTCTGCTTTTGCCTCATCTCTGTTTTTGGGGAAACATGGGGAAAGGGATATTTTGAAGTCACCTATCAACTGTGAAATCTTACACTATGTGAGGGTTTTACAGTTTCTACCAACTCTGAAGTACCAGATTCTTCGGTTACCAAGTTCATAGGGGCTAGCAGACAGCTGGTAGGTGTGCAGAATTCCCAAATTCAAGTACCTGAAGCTCTTGGTGAATGAAAAGCTTTGCGTGGATAAGGACTGAGCCCATTCTCTTACCTGGGCTCAGAATTTGACCTCAAAAAAAGTAAGGCTTTTTAAGATGCTTCTTTTTTCAGAGCATCTTTTTTCCTGGTTAATGAACCTCTGAACAGCATAGAGTGAGAGGCAGTTGAACAGGTTTAGGGAATACTCCCTGATGTTTATTTCTTATTGCTGGCTAACATGATGCATGAAGCACAGTTTATGGCCAGCTTTCCTATACCTTGCCTTATTTGATGCATTCATGGTCTCAGGAAAGATAGGCTTAGTGTAGAGCATAGTGCATCTGGAGAAGCATTTGAAAGGAGCAAGGATATTCTTAAATTATTGTGCTTCTAAGAAGCAGCAGTTTATAGGCAGCAGGAACCCTTCTCCATCTCTGTCCTAAAACTGCTTTCAAATGCATGATGTTCCTTGTAACTTAGATTGATCTTGCATTAGCAGACATCTTTTATTAGGCTCCTTGGATTGTTGACTAAAGAGTTTTTTTTGTGCCGAAGTGAAATAATTAAAGGGGATTAAAATTTGGAATTGGTATGTAAAACTGTATCTGTGGATGGTGGCTCACGGAGCTGATGGCTGCTTGTTGTTTTTCTGTTTTCCCGCAGTGTTTCCCGCCTGTTCTCGGATGCCAGGAGGTTACTGTTGTACAGCCAACAGGACACAAGTATAAAGGATGTCCAGAAGGTCCTGGGAAAACTACGCAAGTTGGGAAATTCCTCTGGCTTAGGTAACAGCCTGATAGAAAGAGTCAATATCTGGTATTTCTGGCCTGCTTAATTCTGTGTGTGTGTAAATTTCAGGAATGTGTCACAATGTGAAAGTGCACGATTATAACTTACGGCTTATCAAATCTTTTCCAATCTTGCAGAAGTACCTTAAGCCTTTCTTGTGTCAGAGCTTTGTGTGCTCTTTATTTTTTTTGATGGAAGAAAAAAGGTGTGGTATGTAATGCCAAGAACAGCAGCTGTTTTGGATGTGAAACTATAATCCTGGGCGCATTGAAGTTAGTTAAAGTGCTTGTTTTCTCAAAGGAGCTGAAGTAGTCTTTTTGAAGAAAGCACTAGTTATTTTGATATTTTGTGAAGCAGTGAACACAATGTAGTGTTCGACCCTCTGAGCTCCAGAGGGAAGTGTGCTGGAAGAATGCAGATGGGGAAAAACTGATGTTGGCCTCCAATCTACAAAATTGGAGGTTATTATCTGACAATGAAATATGCATTTCCCTTCTTGTGTTTGATTTTGGAGGGGGATTTTTTGTCCCTATATGACTTTGATGTAGTATACTCTCTGATATTGTCTGGCAGGATTTTGAATGGCCGGGTACAAAAGAAAACTGTCTGGTTTCACTGCCCTATTTCCTATGAAAATTAGAATCCTCCCATTTTTTGCTTGTGTGAAGAGATGGTTTGCCTTCCCATCCTCTGCAGATAAGTGAGTGACTAGTGTGAGATCTCATGGGAAGCTTGCAGTGGAGCTGGGATGTAAAAGAGCACTGTCCAGTCTCAGGAAATGTGACAAATCTCTTGCTATTGCCGGTTTTCTCTGATGTTGCACCTCGTAAAAGTTTTTTGGCATATTGTTCCCTGAAAGATTATCTGTCTTGGCCGCTGTGTTAGTGTGGCATGTGGCTACTGAAAGTGATGGAAAGTAACAGTTTAGAAAGACATACAGCAGGGAAATAGAACAGGGAGCACAGCCATTGAAAGTCTTTACCCACAGCCTTTATGCAGCATGGACAGCTCTTTGGACATAGGTGGTATTTTGGTGTGTTGTGAAAATTGCCCTTGGTTTCACAGCAGTAGTTCTTCTCAGCTCTCATCATTTGAGGATGGCTCAGGCAAGCTGCAGGAAGAAAAGTATCTGACCTGGTCTGATATGAATAGTGTCACATAGTGAAAGCACAGTCTGATGTGTACTGAGCACACTTAAAGCAGAGATGGTGTTTTTACATTCTTCTGTGTTGCTCAGTACATTGCAAGTCACCTTAGAATAACCTGTGCCTGACTGTTAGTCACAGGTTGGCAGGTATGTGCTGAAGGTATGTACAGACATGGACTGTGCAAAGTATTTGTCTTGGGCAGTTAACCCCCCTCTCTCCTCTTTAGCATTGTGCAGAATTCTGATGTGATCACATCTGCATATAATACTGTGGTCTACTGGCTGACCATTAGTTCATACTTGTGTATGTGTATAAGCTCCTCCTTGCTGAGGAGCTCAGTATCCATACCACCAGGCCTTCTCTCATTTTACTCAGAGAACTGGAGAGTGGCATCTTTGTGCTTTTACCTAAATGTGGAGCAGCTTCAGAAAGGAGAGGATATAGAGTGAACCCTTTGTGCAGAGATGGACACACAATGAATACAGCCAAAATGAGTTCAGATGACTATTTCCCAAGGAGAAGTTTGATGTTGTTTTCAAGGATATCTTCAATTTTTTGGTTTGATTTGGTGAGAACAAGCTCCCTCCATCAGAATGACAGATACTGTTGTTACTGATTTTGCACTTCTAGTAGTAGTATTTTACTCTTTAGCAATACTACTTTTACATTTGCATTGACAAGTTAACTCTTCCAAAGAGAGTAGATCCTGGTGTGGTGTTTTGTACTGAGACATGCAGTGAATGTCAGACACGGACATTTACAAGAACACTATCAAAGCCATAAACTGAAGCTCTTGCTGCTGGGGAGGTCTGAGGGGGAGGAGTGATTCCAAGAAGAGTTTTGCATACGGAGTGCTATACAAATTGAAAGTCAAAAGGCTCGTGTTTCTCTCTAATGTAAAGACTAGTGGACTGACTGTAAAAACAAGCCTCAGACCCAGTCATCACAGACTATATTTCTATAATAAAATATTTCAAATGTGTAATCAAAAAATCAAGCCTCTGTGAATGTCCATTGTTGGTAAGGCTTTTGGAGAACAAAACCTGTTTGTCTTTCTCATGTTAATTTACAGAGCCATCCAGCTTGGTGGATCCTGCTGTCCACTCCTTGGTTGTGTGATTCATTTTTTGACAGCATGCATGAAACAGCATCCTCTAATCATAGAAGCACTCATGTATTTATACTTAGCAGTGCTTAGATTCCTGTTTAAGGAAGGTCAACTGTTGATTATGAGGTGTGAGAGATGCAAATCCTCGTCACTCTGGAGCATTTGTTCCAGTGACTCTGGGAAGCTAAGGAGACAGTAGGAGTGGGTGTCCAATGTAAGTGCACTACCCAGCCTGAAAGTACTGTCTCTATACATGTGTTTCCCCCAGTAGCAGGAGGGCTCATTATCAATAAGCTAATAACTGAAAATGTAATATCCTGTACGTTTTAACTCTGGCTTGGACCTGAAGCCATGTGAATTGGTGGTGCAGACTGGTGCAACTTTGCAACTCCCCCAGTGGGATGGACTGTGTTCTCCTTGGTGTGTGACATGGACTCTGTTGGAATTTGAGCTTCTTTCTCCCCTCACACACTCCTCCCACTACTGCCTGATGATTTTGAAACAGGCTTTCAGGATTTGATCTCTCATTGCTAGCATGCAAATTTGAGCTAATGCTAGTTATGCAGAGCATTCATGTCTATATCTGGCTTCTGATGTCTGAATCTGTTCAGAGGGCATTTGCCAAAGTTCTTTCCCTGGAACCTTCTTTAAAACAACCCTCACAAACTAATGTTCAAGGTGTGACTCTTAGTCTTCTGATCTAAAGTTAGGCATGAGCTGAACCTTGGGGATGAGAGACCTACTTAAGATAGCTCACGTTGCTCGCACAGGTATGAGCATGTCAGCGTCTTTGTTAAACACAAGGTAGGACATGACGGTTTTGTTCAGGACACACTATCCACTCATTCCAACAGGCTTTCTGCTTCTTGATAAGGTGGGAGATAATTCCCCATAATAGGGCTGTTTGTGCAGGAGTTCGAGGAGGAACACCAGACAAGACCTCTCTGTTGGAGAGGAAGGTGTTACAGTATTAGGGAACAGTCCAGTGTTGCTTCATGTGGTACCTTTTTTGGCCAGGATGAAGTGCTAAGTGGTGGTGTGAGGGAGTTCAGCACATGCAGCTGTCATGCTCTATGGGCACTGCTGTTGTGTGGCTGCTTCCAGCAAGCCCTGAGCAGTGAATTCTACGTGCAGGCACACACATACCATAATATAATCAATTTTGCAGGCAGGTGCCAGGTGCTCTCTCTGTTCCAGTTGTTACATGTCTGTCCAGCAATGTCACCAAGGTCTTTAACACTCCTGATAAGGCAGAGTGCAGATCAGTACAGAGAGTCAAAGACCTTGCTGACGGCACTTTCAAGAGGATGACAAGGCTGCTGGGATTGTCAGCTGCAGTAGGTTTGGATTACTGGTTGCAGGCACTGAATTTGCAGCTGGCCTCAGTGCCATTTTATCAGGCTGTTTGCAAGAAATAAGCTTTTCTTCTGTTTTGAAAGATGGAGATACAGCTTGCTATTGACTCTGAGGCACACTTTCTTTATTTCATCCTTCTGTCTACAAGACGCCAAAATACTTTGTTCTGCAGTGCTACCGGGTAATAAATTAACAGGTATAATTACAGCCATATTCTTTGGTTACTGCTAAAAGTTTCAGATATAAGCCAGCCTGGCTAGTATTTACTGCATTGCTCTTAGTTTTCAGTGATCCCAAAGGGCATGTTTCTATTTTTCTTGAAGCCAACCCAACTAAACAAAAATGGAGCAATGAAATAGGCAGAGGGAAACAAATGTCGCCTAAGAAATTGCATCAGAACTTGGGCTATTATTCCACATGTGCCCTGCCTGTCCCAGTTGTTTGCTGGATTAGTATTGCTTGTGGCGGAAGAGACAAACATCAGCTGGGTGGCATTCTTTGCTTTGTTGCACTCTGCTGCACACAGAGATGTCGACACTGAAGGAGTTTGCAGCCTGTCTGGTCAGTGCTATTAGTGCTTTTTAATTTAACAGGTAAAGGATGGTAGAGGACTTGGGCTGAAGAAGAGCTTTTGGAAAGTCTTTCTGGTGGCTTGTGTATTACTGTATGATTACAGGGTGCTCAGGGAAACAGGATGTCATACATTATCTGCTAGGTGACATTAAGCTGATGGCTAACTCCCTCCTCAGTGTCTTGTCCCTAACAAAATTGAACCAACGCCCTCAAGTTAAGCATTTAGATTGATTCTTATATCTGCTTATGCCTGCCTGATTAGACTGGTTTCCTCCCTGACTTCCTTTGGGAAGAATCCTAGCAAAAACCAGATAGGCTAGAATGAACACTAGCAAACCATATGTCCAGGTGGCCTTCATGCCCAGAAAAACCTGCAAACACCAACTGTGGCAGGGTGGCATTCCTGTTGCTGCACATAAATATGCATCTGGGTTCCCTGACAGTGTGCTCCATAGTGACATTCAGATCCTTGCCTTTGCTTTAGGCTAGGGGAAAAGTGCTGCCAAAAATGCTGCCCTGTGGTATCAGTAGAGAGGTCTTGATTTATTTGGGTTGGTAGGAAGGCTGCTTTACCTTTGTGTATTCAGTAACAGTTACCTTGCTCTACTAGCCTTCAGCAGAAGTCCCTAGGGCATTCCTGGCTGCTACTGCCTCCCAGCCCAAAGCATCCCTCCAGGAGGGGGGGTCTGTGTGGGACTGTGTGGGAACCACAGTGATTTCTGCTGTGGTCAAATGCAGCCTGTCACAATGAGCAAGTGGAAAAAGTGGCCAATACTAGGTACTTGGGTCTCACAAAAATTGTAGTTGTTGA